GGACATGGCTCTGGTATGGGATTGATAGCTCTGGTAGGCCACAAAGTCGGCTAGATCCAGCCTGAGCTTTTTGTATTCCAATAATGACACATTGATCTGAGTTTTCTTTATACGACATTACATCACATCTAGGAATCACACAGAGTCTGTGGAGCTCCTAGGTATAGCGCCATTTGGGCAGCGCATACCGTCAGTGCCAATTCGCCCGTGCGCCACCTTTGAGGCGCCATTACAAGAACAAGATCCTGGCATTTCACAAGTCCTGGAACACCGGCTTGATACCAAAACCAGGCCGCAAACACAACGATTGTGTGTCAATTGATATTCAACCTAGATCATATGTCATTGCACGCAACAAATATGCACGTTTTTTTTCCCTAACGCCTGTTCTCTATTGTTTCAGCCACGAAACCCAAACAGTCCTGTCTGACTGTCATCTACCCTCTTGTAGCCAATCTAGTGAATCAAATAATGGTGTTTGGGCTATCCGCTCATTGTTTAGCATTTCCTATAACTCTACAGAGTCAATATTGGTGATCGTCACAGTAGCCCTCAACATTCACAAAAGGTGCCATACAGTGTCACATCACTTTCAGATGTGAAGCTACCCCACCTCAGAAAGAAAGCCATTTTGCAAGCCTTCTTGCGTAATCCCACCTGAGCAGTGAATCCTTGTAGCAAAGATTTTGAGAATAGTATACTTAGAGTTCCAAGAATCTGACGACGTTGCCATCCCACCATGTGCTTGAAAGGACACACTGACACCATTCTGGGTGTTGACCTACAAGGTAGCAATCATTCAGACCTGACGACTGTTCATTGGGCGGCCATGTGTTGCACCTTGAAGTGTTTTCCAAAGGACTTGTTCACATTGTCCACCGTTGCTTGGTCAGCATGGTTGATGTAGAAGCTACCAGTCAGCCTCATTCAATTGTTGGAATGAACATAAATGAACCGTAGAACAATCCAACAAAGCTGAGTTGGTGGCAACACCTGGATCGAAGAACAATCTTGCGCATCACCATTGTCCAAAAGTTCAGATGGTGGAGGTATAGTCCATTACCTAATTTCGATAGTGACCATCAAACGGTTGAACCAATTGGTATCTGAGATTGTGACATGACAGTTGCGAGTTTGTCCGGCTCCGGAACGATCTTGAACTGATTCCCAGCTATCGTGGACAGCTGCGTCAGCTCTGCCAGGTTCAGCGCTTTCTTCCCCTGTCCCAGATCGCTTCCCAGGCTGGGCAAGAGTGGTGAAAACAAAACACTTGGGCCTCGCGGTATTCCTTGCGCTTCTTGGCCGCTTCCTTTTGGGGGTCCTCGTCAGGATAGAAGGATGCATATGTACGTGGCGGATGGCTGAAGTGATTAGAACATATTAGAATCATCTAGAATCATGAAACAAAAAAACATAAGAAAATAGTAAGTCATCAAATGAAATCACAAATATTTGTCACGTGAATCACGCCTCTGCGCTCTTTCTTTTCTTACTTTCATCACCCTCCTGCTCACCCTCACTTTTCTTTGCCTCTGGGTTCTCTGGCTCAGGCAAGGAAACCTTGGAATCTTGCTCACGTGCTTCTGACGCTTTGCCGGTTTCTTGCGTTCATCTTCTTCATCTCTCTCCTCTTCCAGCCGTTCATCTGCCTCCTCTAAGTGCTGATCCAGTCCTGGATCTCCAGGTTCATCTGCGTCTTCCTTGTCTTCTTTTTCCTTGGCTTCGACAGCACGCTTCCTGCCTCGACCTTTCCCCCTGCCCTTTCCTTTTCCTTTCTTCTCCGCTTTTTGTTGTCTGACTTTCTCACGCATTTCTCGTTGTTTCGCCAGCATAAGATCAATCTCTTTTTGTGAGAGCCTTCCATCTTGGAGCTCCTCGAGAGAGGGAAGGACTGCGAACAAAGGCGACGTATCCTGGAAGGTTTGCCTGTCAGCATGTTGACTGTCGGCATCAAAGTCTTCATCATCACCCTTGCCTTGGGATATCCGAAGTTTGATCAGTCGTGCGCATGCTTCATCCTCCGAAAGGGCATCCAACTCCAGACAAATTTCCGATGCCATTTGAAAAAGGGCTTCTGTGGCAACACGTTCCTTCTCTTGTTCCACCTCTGCCTTGCTTACACCTTCTCCATCGGAACCACTGCTTTGCTCAATTTTTTGTTGGACAACCTTCTCAATCTTGGCACGTACTTCATTAGCCCTCCTCAGCATCTCAGTCTCCACTTTGGTTTCTTCTGCAATTTTTTGTTTTGTTTCATCCTCCATCACTTGCAAGTGCTTCCTGACACCCTCAGAATCACCAGTGATTTCAGCCAAAATCATTGCTCGGCAAGCTTCATGGATCTTGCGCCGGTGCGTTTCTGCATGTCTCAGCTCCTTCGTTTTCATTGCGCCAAACAATCTTTTGGTCGCTTGCAAGAGTTGCTCCTTGCCAGAGGTTGTCTCAGCAGCGGTTCGTGTCATCAGTAGGTTTCGAGCCGCATTGAGAATCTCTTGATCTTGGTCGCTGTTTTGTAGTCGCTTTTTGTTGTGCTCTTCAATCATTCTCCTTTCCTCTGCCTTCTGTTCTTCTTCCTTTCTCAGCCGCAATTCCTCTGCCTTTCTGTCTTCTTCTGCCTTCTGTTCTTTTTCCTTTGTCAGCCGCAACTCCTCTGCCTTTCTGTCTTCTTCTGCCTTCTGCTCTTTTTCCTTTGTCAGCCGCAACTCCTCTGCCTTTCTGTCTTCTTCTGCGTTCTTCTCCTCTAGCAACTTTTGGGCGGCCTCCTGAATCTCTCGTTGTTCTTGTGCCTTCTGCTCTTC